ATTATTATTAGTATATATATATATATATATATATATATGTATGTATGTATGTATATATAATATGTGTGTGTGTGTGTGTGTGTGTATATATATATACACGCATATGTATTAAATGGGAATGTACGCGTATCGATGTTTTCAGTTACCGCTTGAAACGATCAAATTGGACTTGCCAGAGATAATTAAAAATGTCGCAGGTAAAACTGTCTTATGGGAAACACCGTGCATTAAAAAAGCTTTTACATTTCAAAATAGCGTAGGCGAAACAATTCTCAAGACAGATGGTTTAAATATAGTGGTAGGTAATTTGTACGAGTATGAAAAATATTTCTCTTTGTTTTGTATATTTCATATTCCTTTCATTGCAGGAAATGTTCAAATATGACAACATACTTGATTTAAGCAGATTATATTCTAATGATATTTACAATATATCTCAAACATATGGAATTGAAGCCGCAAATAGAGTTATTATAAAAGAAGTTAGGGATGTTTTCAAGATGTATGGTATCACCGTCGACTCGAGACATCTGTCCTTAATCGCAGATTATATGACCTTCGATGGTACATTCAAACCACTTAGCCGAAAAGGAATGGAAAGCTCTGCTTCACCGTTACAACAAATAAGTTTCGAAAGTTCGTTAGGTTTCTTGAAAACGGCAACATTGCAAGGTGAGTTCAAACATAAACTCGTACATGTAAATTATAAAATCGATATTAAACTTTAAAAGTATAAAGTACCAAAGTATTATATTAATCAATATAGATCAATGTGCACAAGAAATGTATATATTTGAAGTGTTTCTTTTTTCACTATTTTTTTTCTTACAAAAAAAAAATATCAGATAAGCTATTATTACTTATAACATTACATATTATTACGCTATTTTTATCATTTACAGGAAGAAAAGACGACATATTATCACCCTCAAGTAGGTTGATGTTAGGACGACCGTGCAAATCTGGAACTGGATCATTCTCTGTTTTATCATCACTGTACAGTGTATAAAAAAACAATAAACTATATATTATTATCCCAGAATAGCATTAAACACAACATATCTCAATTCATATTTCAATTTTATTATACATTTTTGCAACAAAATTCGCGGAAATAATTCCATAAAATATTTCCATTATTAAAAAATAAGTGTATCGATTTTTTTCACAATGTATATAGTGTAAACAATGAAGATTCATTTTCTATTTAAATAGTTCATTCTATATTGTGTAAAATAGCGCTAATTCAACATGTCTTTGAGTTTTTAAGGATACATTATATTTAAATCCTTGAAAATTTATTTACTTGTGCTGTTGAATCGTATTTTTAAGTTTTTCAATATTTGCACCAGAAAAAGTCTCCAACTGAAAATATAAATTTTATTCCATTATTGATAATTTTCTTAATTTTTGCAATAATAATATAAAATGTCAACATTTAAATAGATATTTTATAAATTTTGATACATACCACTTTGCTTTCCTTTATAAAAACAAACGTAGGCATACTAGATATTTCGTATTCAGCGGCAACATCTTCGCATTCATCTACATCAACTTTAAGAAATACAATATCTTGCATGTCCTATATAAAAAAAGACATTTGTATTTTCAATTTTAATGTATTACGAAATTTAATTTAATGAAAAATTAATGTGATATAAAACCTTTGCCAAGTCTTCAATCATTGGACCGATCATCTTGCATGGTCCACACCACACGGCAAAGAAGTCGATAACTACCAATTTAGAGCCTGCCTCTTTAAGTTTATTTTTCAAATCATCCTATAAAAAACAGGCAATGATTATATCAATTCTTTTTGGAAAATGTGTATTTATCGATAAAAAGAATATAAATTGAAAAAAAATATGCATTTTTAATAGGTTGATATGATAGAATTGAGATAAAAAGAGATAGAATTAAAAAGTGTAAGGTAGTCATTAAAAATATAGATAAGATATCGACTACTTGAAATTGCTATATTCAATGTGATACGTGATATTGTAAATAAATTGTTACTAAAGTCTAAATAAATTCCAAATAAATCAACGAGAATACGAAATAAATATATGTGAGGACACAACTATTGATTTTAATGAATTTTCACTAATAAATGCTGCTTTTTTACAATTTTTCATTTTTTTTGTCATGTTATTTATGATATAAATTAATATTAATATTTACGGTTATTCTGATGCATTTATAAATATTTCTGTAAATGATTATACGAATGTACTTGTATATATTTAATAACATTAGACTTCCTAAATATAAGTTTTGGGAACAACTTGCTATAATAGATATAGTGAAATGTTTGTTATTAAAATATAACAAAATATAACAAATTTTCATGATTAAAAGATAGGGGCTTTTGGTTTATTTTATCTGTGTGGAAATTTGAAATGGAAAAATATGAAAAAATTATTCCAGTGGAAAATTTTCTATGTAAAATGTAGCCACAAACGAAGATATATTTTTGTAATTGTTTGTATTTTAATATAAATTAACGACAAATTGCGTTTGATTTCTATTGCATTTCCATTGTCACCGATAGACATACGCTCTACTCTATAACGTAAATTATGATTATCTATAATATAAAAAATGGCGCTCATAAAAAAATATCGGCGGTAGCGCCATTTGCAAGTGAATCAATATATCATCATATCATAATCATGCGACTTCCTCGAAATCTTACAAGTTTGACATATTTCCTTTCGAAATTGTTCTTTAGATATTCCGTTGTTTTCAAAGTTCCGGTTTCTTCCGCATTTCTCATGTAAATCTGTCAGGATCATACTGATAATTGTCTATTCAACGTTTTAACAATACTTGGTGGCGATTATGCTCAATTGTCCATGGTAAAGAGCACGCGGCATTCACCACGCCATTCCTTCGGCGTGATGATTCAAGTCCTCGCGACAGCATGGTGACGTAATTAAAATTGTTTATGATTGACGTAATAATTCAACGAATTCCCCGTCCCTACGATCGTCATGCAACTCGTGAAGCCATCTCGTTGAAGTTGAAATTCATTCTCGGATTACATCCGCGATCGAGAGAACCCATCATAACAACGCAACGAGGAATCGATCTGTCTTCAAGGTCTCGAGGCATAGGACCGAAGCTAAAGTAGGTTTCGCGCAAAAAGCATAATGCGGATTCAGGCATATTGGAATCCAGTGTTGCCAGATTTATATCGGTTCTGACGATCGCGCGTCAGGTGGTTCTACGTAATCGCGATATCCCCTTTTTTCCTCTGTAAAAATAATACAATTTTGTCCATTGTTTCCCACCGCTGTGTTCGACTCGAAATTATTAAAGGGATCTCTAAGAATAAATTTGTCCGGAAAAGTGATGTAAATCGATACAACGGCGCGACTCTGCTTTATCAGGTCGTTCCGATGTACGCGTTCACTCTCGAGTTCCTCAAGTTGGCAACACGCCTCTCCAGGGTCTGGCAACATTGCGCCGGAATAAACCGCAATCGTTCGCGCGTGCGTGCATGCGTTGCGGCATGCACATTCAAGGTTATCTTGTTTCATGTATCTGTGTAAGCTACAGTGATAATACGCATCCGGTTTATGCGGACGGAATAATTTGAATTTTAATATTACTTACAGAATTCTGAACAAGAGTAACCTGTCCCTCGAGACCCATTGTTGAGATATCAACGATAACGTTCAACAATGACAAGAGCGCTTCAGATAACCACCGTACACCACGGTAACTCGGCAACGACTGCTCGTGTCAGTCTACAGTGTCTACTTGGCGGACAATCTCCTATTATTTACGAGATCCATATTATCTTTAGCGCGCCCTGGTAGATTTGGGAGCGAATTAAAGCAACGTCGAATGTTACCCGGTAAATTTAATTGCGTAAAAAGTGGAATTGTTCGATTAGTTTGTAGTTTGTAACATGAATTTAATGATCTATTATTATCCTGATGTTTCTTGATATAGATATATCCGATGTAGATGTACGTATTTATAATACGAAGATATTCGAGCTTTATTTAAACGTTTGCGTTTTTATTGTTATCAATCGAGTTTGATTATTTAGTGAGACGAATGAGAATATGAACAAAAATGCAGTTTTGCAACAATTTACAATTATATATTATTACTTACAGTGGATATATGTTTGTTTATGAAGCATTTGTATAATACTAAATCATGAATTTAATGTATATTATAAGCTAATTGTCTATGTATTTATATATCGACGGTAGATAATGTCTACAATCTTCGATTATTTCCACTTGTAATCAAGTATCTTCAGCAATAAGCGCGCCAATCAAAAATTGGTTTCTGATTTTCAGATAGCGCACTCATCTACGTATATGTTTTTATTTTATTTTATATTTTAAATATATAAAATATATAATAAAATATATCAAAACAAAATATAAAATAGCTTCTAAATTAACAACTATGCATAACTTCTATGTATAACTTTATGATAATTTTCTATGAGAAAATGACGCATCCAAAGTTAAACAAATGACGCTATTTATTTTAAAATATAATTTATACTATTATTACTATTACTATTTCACTTTGCTGTGAGTGAATTTGATAACTTGACATTACTTCTTGATTCAAAACTTCTATAAATATTACATATTTGGTATTTTCAGAGGCAGCAAAAAATATTGATACTGTGCAGTAATTTCAGCTGTTTGAATAATTTAGCATGATTAAACTAAAAGTTCATTTCAATTTTTTTCTCACACATTTTACAAAATTTTTAATTGGAACCTTGCTCTTGCAAGAAAGAAACTAAATGCAATATTTTTTGACATTCTGGAACTAATTGTCAGAGAAGGAAAAATAATATATTTACGGATGTTTTTTAATAAGATTCTTATTAATTGAGATCGATGGAATTATTGTACAAAGGCAAAAATGCATCGTCATGATGAAATCGCTGAAATTTTTCCAAACGTAGTTGCGCAGTCCAAATACAATTAAATCGATATTGCGAGGCACTATTTGTCAATAGTTTTTATCAGCGCCAACAAGATATTGTTAAAAACTTATGGAAATTTGAGTAGTCGTTGAGTAGTAGTTGAAATTTCATCATTTTATCTTATAATACAATATTAATTTACAATTTATTATTATCTCGATTTTTATTTTTAAAACTGAACTTTTATCATTATCATTCACGTTTTCTTATACACTGTGATGATAACCATGGGAAAAAATGCAACTGTGCAGTTATATATATGACATTGCATTGTTCATAGACTATCTACGAAACATTTATATAATAATAAATTTTAAATTTAATACCGCATTATATAATCATGTCTAATCGTTTAGATATTTATTGGACAGTTGCAAAACTGTCGGTAACACTTACATTTTCCAATCGTCTTACGTCTAGTTTATAATATAAAAATTTACACAGAATCGATCATTTTTTATATCGTCTTCAGTACCTCTTCGATAGCGTCAATAAATTTAGATCGACGGTATGTGGTTGCCCTCGGGGTGGAAACCGTTCTGGTCGGCGACGTAGTTGACGGTGTACCTGACGTTGGTCTCGGGCTCGACGTAGGTGAAGCTACCGCGAACGATGAGGCTCTGATTCTCCTGGCCGGCGTTCGTCACTTCGGCGGATTCTTGATGGGCATGACCGTCGGAGAGTTCGTAGGCGTATTGGTATCCCTCAATGCCGATGTTGTTCAATGGAGTTTCCTTCACTAAGACTGTCTGGTTGTCGTCGTGCGCGGGTGCCGCGAGGGCAACGGCCACGAGGGCGCAGAGAGCGATGATCTACGGAGAGAAAACGTCAATTGTTATTAGTAACGATTAGTCAAAGTTAGAATAGTCTTCGTTATTTGCGTTTTATTCATATTGATAGAAGCGAGACTAGAATTATTAATGAGTATTGGAAGTGGCAATAAGATTCCAGATTTCGATACTGCGATTCATGCTGTGACCCTCGAATTAATTCGCGATAAATTTGGCTCGCGACCACGAAAAACAAAATTAATTAATAATAAATTATAACTGAAAATAATTCTGGATTTCCTTGAATGTATGAGATACCCACTGTTCTCATGTTGAAAACGAAGGTGTACAACTATTCCCGTTCGATGGAGGAAACTGATGTAGGTGGACGAAATCAGCCGTGATTTTATAGTGCTTCTCCTACTGCCAAAATTGTCTGGGCCTACATCAAGTCACCTCTCACCTTTTTTTCTCATCTCTAATTAATATGTACTGATTGTCGTCCAGATTTCGACCTTCGTAAGAATTTTTTGCAAACGATAATCGAACTATTTAAAATTTTACAATTTAAAAATAATCGATTCGTGTAATTATTCTAACAAATAGATTTCGCGTTCTTTACCATATTTATTTTAATGAAACAATTTCTTATCACTAAAAAATGTTATTATTTATTAAAAGTTCAGATGTTGACAAAGCTACGTAATCAACAAATCTATTTTTAGAAGGATTAAACGACTTATTTGTAAAACTGTATAAATTGATGTTAACATACGATTAATTATGCTGTAATTTAACATGATCATATAAAAATAATGTTCAAATTTTCTTAAGTATATTATTTAATAAAATTTAATTGCATTCAACTTGCATATAATATAATATAATAAATATATGAATAATAATAAAACAATTAAATTATAAATATCTGCACAAATATCTGCAATTATGAATACTCAAGTTTATTAAAAATTCTTGCAATTTAAAAATAAGCAAGAGGGAATTCCATTTTTCTTCAGAAATCTATTTGAGGAATCTAATCATTAATTATTGATGTAACCTTTATGAAGACGTAACTTTGCGAATTCAGTGAATATAATCCATTCCCATAAATTCAGATGACCCTGGTCTGTAAAATACCGACAAGATTAAACTTAATTATCTACACTCATCTGTTTAACATTCGTGTGGTATCACGTTGTCTTCTCGTGGCAGAACTTCTAACCGCCCTTGAGGAATATTTGTCGAAACTTTTAAAACGATAGTGATATAAAAATAACATATTTTAAACCGTATGTATGATCAAAGGAAACTTTATTCGGATTTTTTTTCGGATACATTTAATTGCGTAATGCGATATCAGTAACACGAATATCGATGAATATTTTCGAAATTCTAATCCATTTGTTTGATTAAATTTTATTGATAGTTAAATTTATTAATGGCTGTTAAAAAATGCATTGAAAGTATATTGCTGAAAAACCGAATTTGTTAGGTAATATGTTTTAATAAAAGAAGATCAAAATATATGGAAATATTGGTTTAATGTAAAATCAAACTTTTATATATTAATAAAGATAATATTTTTATTAAAGTATCTTTTAATATAATGATTATTTCATGAAATATTGTGTTGAATTAATAATTTTAATTAATCTTGTAAAAATATATGAATAACTTTAACAGTTTTTAAATTATTTTAATTAAAATTTATTAATGCATTCTAATTATTTTTTAATATCATTAATATCAATTTATTAATATCAATTTATTAATATCAATTTATTATATTTTTTATATACATTTAATAATATTTTAATATAACTTTTAATATTTAATAATATAACATTAAAATATTGAAATAAATGCAAAAAATATATTTAAACATATGAATAGTCGTTATTTAATTTTAATAAAAATTAATTTGATTAAAAGTAGTGCGAATTAAAAGAAATAGAACAATAAAATGTTTAAATTAAATTATAAAACAAATTTAACAAATTGACAATTCGAGAAAACTATAAATCTTTAACAAACTTTATTATTTTAGTATCTATTATTTTTGTCTATTATTTTAGTATCTATTATTTTTATTTATTAATGATATATTATTGTATGGAAAGCATAACAAAAAGTAATTAGAATCTATTGTTATGCATTTAAATTATTTCATTACCGGAATCTTTTATTTTACGTAGAACATTGTAATGTATATTAATATATATTAGATCTAGATATGTTATTGCGTGAATAAACCGTAGTCTAATTTCGAATATATTCACAAAATTTGAAAATATTTATTTTTATTGCTCTATTAATACAAATTATTTTTTATACATCTCATTAGCTAATGCAGTAAATTAATCGACCTAAATGAGGATCGTCCATTTGAATTATATTTTATTTATGCGGAGTTTCCTAAGTGTCCTCAAAACCATCAATCTCATTTCAGCGAAGATCCATCAACAAGTATCAGATCCGTCGGACTATCATGTTGGAAATGGAAAAGTTGTGAAATAATTTAGACGCAACAAGGATTATGTAAAGATCAATTTATTTAAAGCTAGATTTGTCATGTGTGTATGTGTCCATTGAGATTGCGCTGTGATCGAGAGATTGAGATAATCGTGTTTCTTCAAGCGCAATCGCAGGGCTGGAAATTGGACGAGTAAATCAAAAATGTAGAAACACAGATACGAGTCTTGCAGAATTTAAACGGACGGCAGATGCGCTCCCTCGGGATGGAATCCATTCTCGTCGGCGACGTAGTTGACGGTGTACCTGACGTTAGTCTCCGGGTCGACGTAGCTGAAGCTACCGCGGACGACAAGACTTTCGTTCTCTTGACCGGCATTCACCAGCTGGGCGGATTCTTGATGAGCTTGACCGTCGGAGAGCTCGTAACCGAAATTGTATCCATCAATACCGATGTTGTCCAATGGCGTCTCTTTCACGACCACAGTTTGGCTGTCGTCGTGCGCGGGTGCCGCGAGGGCGACGGCAACGATGGCGGCAAAGGCGATTATCTGAAGTAACAAAAATAACGTGTCAAGAATGATTCTTAATCATTTATGATAAAATATTTTAGCGTCTGATATATTTTACATTTTTATTGTAATTTATAATAATTTTAATTCTTTAATTCTTCAGTTCGCTCGTAAAGTTATTATATGGTTCTTTCTTTGGAAATGCGTGGAAATTTTGAATAAAAATTTATATATAAATTAATAAAGGCAATATATATTTCTGTTATTTTTCGCGCGGAAACGTAAACTTTCACAATGACAAAAACTACTATATTTTCAAGGTATTTTGTGTGTATTCCTCAAAAAAATGATAATGGTCCCGGTCTTAATAATGTCGCGATCGATGTAATGTGATATCCGAATTGTTTTTATAATCCTTGAGATCTCAAATGAAAATTCCCGAGAAGTCATCACACTGCGAGATTCATCGAGAAGATCATTTCGGAAATTTATCGAGAGCGGATTCCGCCGATTCCGGACCGATCATTACGAGCGATCATCACGCGGGCACTCTTTCGTTTCCGTTGAAGAAACTCGTTACGTTCGATTTTCGTCAGAGAACACGCACCAGCTTCATAGCTACAGGTAGATTCTTCTTTTCGAGAGAGTGGCTGATGATCCGAGCTGAGATGGCTCACAGACGACAACTGATTCGATGACTGGTATACGGTGGCGGTTATATATAGCCCGAAATTGTACGATGTGAATTGCGCCCTACCATCGGCACGGCATTGCCAAAATTTTCATGTTCATGTGTCGAAATCCATAAAAGACCACCGGCCGATCGGGCAACGATGGCACAACCATCGCCGCGCGCGGCCGAGAATGTCAGGCTGGAATGCGAGAGACACGGGGCGGTCTCACCTGGGCAGGTCGTGATAGTTCGTAATTTTAATTCCTCATCTCGATCTCGATGATTGATGATTTATGCGAGCTACAAAATATTTAATTGTTAATTTTCTGCGGAATTTTGCTTCTCGATACGCGACCGACGCTTGTAACCATAGAGCGTTTACAAGACTCGTCCGTCAAAATATTGTACACAACATTGCGCCGGTATTATTGGTCCAGGGACTGTTGTAATTTTAGCGTTTAATAGTCTCGGATTAGGGGGCAATTTCAAAATGCACTTTGAGGGATAAGCATTGCTAAAGGTTAGTGCGCAAATCCCTATTCTCGTTAAATCTTAATCCATTGGTCTTATATTATGTCTTTGCGTTACGCAACACGTGCGGAGGCTCATCTGGATGCGGATATTAATGCGCACGTGCAAGTTGCACTAATGTATTTGGCCACACTAACAAAATTTTCTGTGAATCGAAGCCGATAATCCATCACGCTTCTGTTGCATCACGTTGCGGCTCATCGAAATCAGCTGATGGCGAGACATTTCATTTAGCAAGTAATAAAATTAAGAGCCAAGAAAATTACGGATGAACGAATGAATTATTATTGAGAAACATTTTTTTCTCAATTGATAAATCGATGTTGCATTATTCCTCTGATCGGTCAGAAAGGTAGATAAACGGATATCTACCTTTACCCTTAATATACACTTAATGTATTATTCATAAAGCAAATTTGTATCGCTTTGTGAAATTTCTTTTTTAATAAAAGAAAAATATTCTTTTTCTAAAACAAAAATTAATATAAATTCACGAATGTATTTTAGAAACGAGTCTATTTTGATTACTCAGAAAAATGTAATCGCATTAATTGCTAAAGAATATTTATAAATACGCCTAATATTATGTAGCTGCAGGTACATACATTAGCATATCACCAATAATCTAGTGACACGTTTTTCGATGTCTGAAAAATTCTGATATGTCATGGGAGACGATCAATTATTTTTTTTTGTTTTTCAATTCCAGAAAACGGGTTTCTGATGTAAAATATAATCCCGGAACTAGCAAAAAGCGCCTCTATTCTAAAAGTGATTCTTTTAGTCATTAATTAAAATTTCTTCCAGAAATTTATTCAACAAATGTAACTACGATTTGTTACGAAGAAATGAAAATTTCCCAATTTTTTTATTCTTTTCATAATTTTACATCATTTCTTTCATCTTTAGTAATAAAATTCAGTACTTGTTAATCTCTTAAAGTTTTGTCGAAGCGATGACAGCCAAACACATAAACGCCCAAATTGACAATCCAAGTCCTGCCTCGTAAAAATTACAAAAGAATCGAGCTTCTTTAATCTCGTATTTATCTTTGGTTGGTTGCGATTTTATTGTCCGACGCGAATTATATCATCGAGTAATGAAAAAGGAATGATGCGCGCCGACCG